TTGAATAATTTTATTTGCCTAATGAGATAAATTTAATGAAATAAATCTTATTGATGCCATTTAATGTTTTTGTTATTTGAGAAATGCATCATCACCTGAACAGTACTGTTAAAATATTTGCGTGATGTCTGGGTAAGAACTCATTATAGTTAAGGATACTTATTGTTTATTTTACTGTTTTTGTTTTGTTTTGTTTTATTTTGAGACAAAGTTTTGCTCTGCTGCCTGGGCTAGAGTGCCATGGCGTCAGCCTAGCTCACAGCACCTCAAACTTTTGGGCCTAAGCCGTCCTCTCGCCTCGGCCTCCCAGAGTGCTAGGACTACAGACATGAGCCACCATGCCTGGCCTACTGTATTTTTAATTAAAGAAAATACTCACTAGAAGTTTCTATCATTATTTTCTATGTTGAGGATTATTTCATCTTACCTGATATTGATACCAAAACAATTTTAGTAGTTATGTGAAAATATAGAGTAGTAAAATAATAACTGCACCTATGAAAAATTATTCTAAAATTGCATCATAATTTGGGATTGCAATACACAACCTTCGGAAAATTAAATAAGGGCTTTATGGTAGAAAGTCACATTAGATATGTTATGACTTCTCACCTTGAGACCACACTTAATGTAATCCACCAAGTCTTTTTGAACAATGCATTATCTTTTTCCTTTCAATCTATTTTCAATCGTATAGTATTTGAAAAGTTCAGAATTATTTACAATGCTATTGACAGGGAATTTACCTAATATGCATTTTGTTACTTTTCCCAACTTTTCATTTTGAAAAATTTTGAAATCAAAAAAAAGTGACATGAGTAATACAATGGGCACTCACATACCTTAACCTAGATTCTGCAATCGGTAAAATTTTACTACATTTGCTTTATGTCTATGTTTGTGTATAATCTGTATGTGTGTCTAGGCAGGATCATTTGGCAAATACTTGAGACATTATGATATTTCACTCCTAAATTCTTCAACATCAAAGAACAAGGACATCTACCTATATAACCATAAATTATAATAACACTCAAGATATTTATCATTTCTATAGTGTTATTTCTAAAATACATTTCATGTACATGTTTTTCCAATGGTCTCAAATTGTGTTTGGAATAAGCATTATTTTATTTTGCTGTGCTTTGTTTGCCTTTGTTTTGATCCAGATT